AGTTTTTTTGAAAATCTAAAAATGCAGAAAGTCTCCTGTGAGGGGTAGGTTTAGGGGTAGTGTTGGTGTAGGGCAATAGAATATACGGTTTGTACAGTATAAAAACCATTATGCCTATGGAGAGTCCCCATAAACCATAAAAACAAACCTGTGTGTGTGTGTGTGTGTACATCTCCTGAATGCATATAGTTTTAGTTACACTGCAAAAAATGAGTTTCTTCCTTAGTATTTTTGTCTTGTTTTCTAGTATAAATATCTACAAATTCTTGAATCAGGATGCGTTTACTTGACAAGAAAAATTACTTGAGATATTATGTCTTGTTTCCTGAAAATATTATCCAAATTTTGTTCGTTTGTGCTTAAGTGTGTGTGTGTGTGTGTACATCTCCTGAATGCATATAGTTTTAGTTACACTGCAAAAAATGAGTTTCTTCCTTAGTATTTTTGTCTTGTTTTCTAGTATAAATATCTACAAATTCTTGAATCAGGATGCGTTTACTTGACAAGAAAAATTACTTGAGATATTATGTCTTGTTTCCTGAAAATATTATCCAAATTTTGTTCGTTTGTGCTTAAAACAAGTGAAAATATCGGTCAATGGGGTAAGAAAAATAATCTTAATTCGAAGGCTAAACAAGATTAATTTTCTTACCCCACTGGCAGATATTTTGGCTTGTAGTAATGCATCCTGATTCAAGAATTTGTTATACTAGAAAAGAAGAAAATCATTTTTTGCAGTGTTGTTGTTTGTAGTAAATCTCCCATCTCACATACTCTTTGTCTAGTATGGTGTAAATTGTTTGGTATTATTTTTATGTACAGTATTTATGTGTTTACTTGCTATTGAAACAGGTAATTGTGAAGGAACACATCAGGGCTTATCCCTATTTTAACTAGCTTTTAGTTAACTTAAAGATGGCATGCAATGTAAATTCACCTTGTCTGTTTACTAAATGCATATTATACAGTAGATCTTACTGTGAACAACTCATCTGTGATGCTGGTCACACTAGTTTGGGGACCAGTTTTCACTATTAACTATGACTTTAGCCTCAATAAACTACTAATTTGCTGGTTGTTAATAGTAAGGTAGCTGTTAAGATTAAGTATGGGGTGGATTAAGAGATAAAAAAATATGGTCATGCAGAATAAGACATTAATATCTGCTTTATAATAATAAACAACCAATATGCTAGTAACATGCATGCTAATAAGCAACTAGTTAATATTGAGAATTGGTCCCTTAACTAATGTTTTACCAGGATTTTTAATTCAAATGTCACAGCTGGATCTTCCAGTGAAATGGCAGACTTCTCTCTGGTCACGCATGCAGAATTCTCTGATCATTTATTGCGTGCAAACTCTTAAAAACACACACTCATGTGCCTCCACTTTGAATGAAACGGCCACATTTCAAAGTCCAATCAAAAAAAAAGGAAGTTTCAAAACCGTGTGACTTTATTTCTTCAGTGGAACATAAAAAAGAAGACGTTCTGAAGCATGTTGGTAACCAAACAGTCTTTGGTTACCATTTATTTTCCTTTGTGTCTTCTTCATGTCCCACAAAACAAACTAAGTCATACAGGTTTGGCTCAACATGAGTGTGAGTAAACAATGACAGAACGTTCATTTTTGGGTGGAACTATCCGTAACAGGCCAACAAAAGAAACACAAACAACCAGCATCCACTAATCTTGTAGAAATGCAATAGAACATTTTTGGTTCCCCAAAAAACCTTTCAGTGACCAGTTCTTAAAAGAACCATTTTTTGTTCTTAGTGTGAAGAGCGTTTCAATAATCTGAAGAACTTTTTTCCACTATAGAGAAACTTGTGCAATGGAAAGATTCCATGGAACCATCAACAACAATAAAGAACTTTCATTTTTAAAGTGACAGTTCACCCTAATCATCATTTACTCACCCTCATGTTGACGCTAGCCACTGACTTCCATATAATTTTTTGTCCATACTATGGAAGTCAATGGCTACAGTCAATTGTTTGGTTACCAACTATCTTCAAAAAACCTTTCAGGTTTGGAACAATTGGAGGATGAGTAAATTATTTTATTTCTGGGTGAACTGTCCCTTTAAGAGTGCACTAGAACAGTGGTTATTAACCCCTAAACGCTGCATATTTTGCGTGTATCCTTTGTCTGACCTGTCTCAGGTCTTGGAGTCTCTACTAATGAGCTGATGATCTGAATCAGATGTGTTTGATTAAAACAGCAGTCGGTTACTTTTTTTGGTTAAAAATGTATAGCCTTCGTTCATAGCCTTTTCTCACAGCAGCTGAAATGATTAAACGTATAATTTTGATGGCGTATTGTAATCCAAAACGTGTGTTTATGAAACACAAGTGACTGAAATTATATTCCAGTTTTAAATGTGCATCTGATTACAGATATCCTACATGGGATTACACACAATTTGTATTTTAAAGACAACCAGTTCGAAGGGAGCATAGTTTGCTTTTTGGGTTAAAAGAATTTCTTTATATGAAATTCGAATGGTATGACAATTAGAGATTAGACTGTACAGAAATCTACATGTAACACTAATACACACTACATACACGTTGTTAACACGTTGAGAACAAAGTATAACAGTAATAATAATTTGCACAGTTTGATGTGATATGTATATTTGATGTATATTTTTCCTCAGTTGGTCAGAACAAAAGTGTCAGACTTGTTACTTACTTGTTCAGATGACAATATCTGGAGAAAATTCTTATTTGGGTCATATATTCCAAAACATAGGCTAGAATCCGTGATTCCTGAAGGACCAGATATACTTCAAACGAAATCGAACTGATGTGACCTCATTTTGAACAAAATCCGGCCACAACGAAGTTCGTTTTGGGAGTTCGAAACTGCTTGCCAAAGCGAACTTTCGTTCCGGCTGCAAAACACCTTTGTACTACCATTGGTCCGTGACGATTACATCATAGGAGGTGTGCGCTGAGGCTCATTTGTCCATGGGTAAAAAAAAAAAACATGAACACATTGGAGAGCCGCTTTATAGCCTAGTAGAAAATAAAGTTGTGCTTCTGATGAAATGAGACACGATACTGTTTTCATGTTTAATACTGCCGATTGCTTTTAAGCAATATACTGAATAAAGTCCCATGTAAATACACGTGACGTGACTTCACGGGAGTGCTATTTGCAGAGCTCGTGCAAACATACCCATGTTGCTATGATCAGATGCTTTTTTAAAAGAAATGCTTGCCGTTTTCTCCATTTTTGTTGTGTTTATTTTGTTACTGACAGGAAAGCGCACAGCACATATTTACATATTCATTTAAATGTCGCTTTCATCAGAGTGGGTGGCGTCGAGATGTTCGCTAACAGTATACCGCTGCTCACGTATTTCAAACTTCATTTTCGTATGAAGAACGAAAAGGAACTTTGTTTTGAGTATATCGGGGCCTTAAGTACAGTATCCACACCGGTGCGGTGACTGACAGACACACACACTCCTCAAAACATTAGATTCATCCAGCTGGAGCCATGCCGGTGAACGACCCACGTTAAGAAAATAATTCTGCAAAATAACTGCAATTGCAGGTTTCAAACAGAGATGGCAACAAAGAGGCAGAAATTACGGACTGCAGCTTTAAGGAGACATGCAAAATGTGCACTGTTGGCAGACCCGGCTCCAGAATCAAATCACAGAGGGTGCTGCTTAAATTAGTGAGGGTGCTTTAATATATATATACTGTATATATATATATATATATATATATATATATATATATTAGTAGCGTCTGTCTGTTGCTATGGCGCAAAGAGCGCTCTGTATAATCACTAAAAGCTGTCACTCATCTTAGTTCATTGCGATCTCACAAAGATACTTTTTAATCAATGAAGTTTTCTACGCTGCACAATGAATCTCTTATTTACATCGCGTCTACACTTTGTTATAATGAGATGATTCGTGCTGAACACAACACCTGAACAAAAATCTCCGGCGATTTCAGCGGTGAGTGGATTCTAACTTAAACGCCTCCGATTAAAAAAAAGACTGGCTACATTGCTCAACGCTGCAAAAACATGTTGAAATAGAAACCGATCTCCAAAGCATAGCGCACTGGCAAACGCCAAATATGCAACGAAGTGCCATTAATACAGCTTTAATTAAGTGAGGGTACTATTGATTTCGTTTGAGGGTGCCATGCACCCTCTAGCAACTCTGTAGAACCGGGCCTGACTGTTGGGGGTATTCCAGAAAGCACTGAAATATAAATGACAAAACTCAGATTCTGAAGGGGTCTTTTATATAATTTTATATGCAACAGAATCTATCTAATATGTTGTCTCCTCTTCTCTGGATTCTCTCCTCAGCTGTCCTATCTGGGGCCTCCGTTCAGCGATCCCGGCTTCTCTCCTCCACGACCCAACAGCTCCTCTCTGTCCGTGCCCAGCGCGGCCACAAGGGTGGATCTGTGGCGCGGGCTGGAGAACGGCGCCCGTCTGGCGCAGAACCAGCGGGCCTACAGCATTCTCCTGTGTGCCGTGAGGGAGCTGGCGCGCTCCACCCTGTGTCCGTATCTCCAGAGTTCGCTCATGCACTTCTGCTCCGGCCTCAGCGGGCTGCTGGGCTCCATATCCGGCCTGATGAACGCCCTGGGCTACACCAGCCTCCCGCCCTCCACACCCGCTCAAGGATACGCCCCACTTCTGTCCTCACAGTTTCAGAACAGCCCTGCTCCTCTGCGGAGTTACGAGCCTCGGGGCGTGAGAGAGGGAACGACTCGGGCGGATCTGAAGAGGGGCAGGAGAGGACGGAAAAAAGAAGGAGAGAGCTGGGCTGCCAGAGAGGAGAGAGAGAAAGAGGAAGGAATGGAGAGATGGGGGAAACGGAGAAGACTGTTGAGTGTGGATGAAGAGAACATCCTGAAACTCAACATGAACTACACAGCTTTAAAATTCGGAAAGCAGCCTGTGCTATTTTCACCGGCGTCTCTACAGCATCGTCGAGCTATTCGGTCCACTCACGCCGGACTCTCTCCTCTCTCGCTGCTTTATCAGTACGGAGGGTCGGCCGCTGAGGTTCACACTTTGCTGGCGGCCCCCGTGTTGTCGTCTCGTCCCGCGTCGAATGACTTCTCGCGGAAAGTGGAGGGATTCTGGGTACTGAGAGAGCTGCAGAGCTGGCTTTGGAGATCCGCCAAAGACTTCACCAGACTGAAGAAACGACTGCGCGTTTGAGACCCAAACAACGACTTCGCTTCAAAACCTAGCGAGCTGCCTTCTAGCAAAATTTCTCAAACCAAAAAAGTTAATTGCGATGGACAGTGGTGGCCAAAATGATTAGAACACTAGTATTTTCAGCAGCTAAAAATGGTTTTAAGTCATATCTTTTTGTAGGTATCTCACTGGATTACTACAACTAATGGCAAAATTAAGGTTTGAAAATGTAAATTGATATCTCCTTCTGACACACTACAGCAAAAGATAGAAATAACTGACTTAAAACCATTTTTCATTTTCAAAAATAGAATCAGAAGTTCTCTGAATGACTAATTAGCACTTTAGAACTCCTTTTATGAGTATCTGCATGTCTAAATAAATTTAGACGGTTTGCCTAGATTGTTCAGAGCAAATCATGTGAATGCAGCTTGAGAGAGAATTTTAAATGAGTGTGTGAACAGAGCCGTGTTGCCAGATCCAGTTTTTATAAGCGTCATCAGACTTGTTTTTTCCACTAATTGTGATGCTTTCGGAAGCTAAAAAAGTGGGAAGTTGCAGTTTAGACTTAGTGATATCCTTATCTTTAACTTTTTTTGGTTTATGCTATTTTTGAGGGCTTGTTTTTGTTTGCTAGCGTAGCAATACCTGGCAACACTGCATCGCCGGCACTGACAATAATGATAATAATAACATTAAAAAAGCCCATAGAGAGCATGGCCACGTTATTGCTGAACGGATACCACATTCGATGAGACAAATGCAATGATCATCATGATATTATTGTCTGTAAGAAACAGTATCAGAAACACTAGTGTAATAACACTAGTACAGAGATTTGTATAACAAACAGGTTACAGAATGAAATGTGGCAAATATGGAGATGTTGGCCATGAAGAAAGCTTGGCTATTTCATTCCTTTCACAAAGTCATGCTAAAACATTCATAAGAACACATGACAAAGTTCTTATCAGATAGCAATGCTTACTCATGAAAATTATTACAGTAATAAATACAGTTGCGTGAGTAGCAAACAAAAAATAAAATGATCCACTCCTAACCTATAGCAAAGTATGAACACATGTTGATGCAATAAATAAGGCAATTTTACAATGTTCATCTTCACAAATTAGAGAAAACATCTTTCACAAACATCTACATGTGTGTGTCTTTTAAAGTGTACTGTATGTGTGACCCTGGAGCACAAAACCAGTCATAAGGGTCAATTTTTTGAAACTGAGATTTATACATCATCTGAAAGCTGAATAAATAAGCTTAATAAATAAATAAATGTAATTTTAATATATAAATAAATAAAAATAAATTGTAATAAATATATTTTTCTATTTATTAAAATACAATTTTAATAAATAATAAATAAATAAATTAGTTAGGATAGGACAATATTTGGCTGAGATGCAACTATTTCAAAATCTGGAATCTGAGGCTGCAAAAAAAAAATCTAAATATTGAGAAAATCATCTTTAAAGTTGTTCAAATGAAGTTCTTAGCAATGCATATTACTAATCAAAAATTAAGATTTAATATATTTACAGTAGGACATTTACAAAATATTTTCACGGAACATGATCTTTACTTAATATCCTAATGATTTTTGGCATAAAAGAAAAATCGATAATTTTGACCCATACAATGTATTGTTGGCTATTGCTACAAATATCCCCCAGCGACTTAACACTGCTTTTGTGCTCCAGGCTCACATATGCAGTGTATAAAATGAGTTGTGTTTATTATATATAGCACAATTCTTCACAGCTCACACAGAAGTCACTTTCAAACCAAGCAGTTCTCTGTTGGACCAATGGCTAATTTGCACGAGCGAATTGAACCTGTTGCGAAATCTGCGTGGGGAGATCAGCTCGCTAGGTTTGGAAACAGACTGATTCACGCTCTGTGGATGGAGATCTGAGGATCTCAGATGGTCCCGCTTTGCACTAAACCACCAAACAGTAAAGAGCTGCCAGTACGTCACGGACAAAGGCAAGAGAGCCAGACGTGATTCAGCAGAAGGAAAGTGAATCATGCTCGGCGTCATGCAGCAGTGAAAGGGTCAACGGGCAAAAGGGGAGGAAATGTGGCATAATCAAAGAAACAATGGAGAGATGTTTGCTGCCAGTCAGTAATGCCTCACTGACACTGACTCGTCTTTTTCCAGACACACAAATACACTCCTACACATTTGGAAACACATGCACAGATCTGATGTTCAGATGGCGTGTGTGCGAACAGAAAAGGAAACATATGAACGTATGTTATACAAAAACTTCATAATATTTTTTAAGCATGGTACCATGGGGATATTATGTTTGCTGGAAATATAGAATGGTAATATCATGGTATTTTTGTAGAAACAATGAGTACTATGTAAATATCATGGTATGTGGATAAGGTCCTAATTTAATACCATGGTATATTTCAAAGTACTTTGGCATTACTATGTTTTTGAGCATTGAACCATGGTAATACTGTTTTATTTAGTTTTTTTTTTAGAAATGTAAAATAGTAATACCATGGTATTTTTGTAGAAACATTTGGTACTATGTAAATACCATGGTATGTGAATATGGTAAAAACTTAATACCATGGTATATTTCAAAGTACTGTGGCATTACTATGTTTTTGAACATTGAACCATGGTAATACTATGTTTTGTTGTTGTTGTTGTTGTTAGAAATGTACAATGGTGATACCATGGTATTTTGTAGAAACAATGAGTACTATGTAAATACCATGGTAAGTGAATACGATCATAATTTTGTACCATGGTATTTTTTAAAGTACTATGGTATTACTATGATTTGGGGATGGCACCATGGTAATACTATGTTGTTGTTTTGTTAAATGTACAATTGTAATACCATGGTATTTTTGTAGATACATTGCGTACTATGTGAATACCATGATATGTGAATATGGTAATAATTTAGTACCACGGTATCGAAGGGTTGTGTTTTTGGGAATGGTACCATGGTAATAGTAGTAAAGCAGTTTGGAGTAACATGCAAATACCATGGTATGTGAAAATAGTAACCATCCAGTACCATATTCCCATGCTTTTACGTCACGTAAATACCACAGTATGTAATAATATACCGAGGTATTTATTTGAAACCCCAGTGTACCTCCAAGAATGTGTGATACAAAAAAAGTACCATAATACAACATTTTGGGAAATGTACCATGGTATATATCAAAGTACCATGGTATTATTGTGTTTTTGAACGGCATGGCAATCAATCAGTAAAATGGTATGGTTTTTAACATAGTGTACCATGGTATTCTTAAACGTACTGTACCTTGGAATGCCATTGTGTGTTAATATGATATTCATACAGTCTGTTATATATATATATATATATATATATAAGTACTACATTATTACCATTCTTTTACCATGGTACCACCACAGTTCCTTTTTTTTTTCTACACACATGACCATGAGTTATAATGCAGATGAGAAGGTGTATAAATAGGAGTGTTTGTGTACAGTCTGTACAGTGATTTCTGTATGTGTGTATATGTCTGTTATATTTATTTAATACTATTTATTTCTCTGGGGTACGACTGTATGGTGTCACATGTTTTTTTTACAGAGAGTACAAAAGACCATTACTGGCTACACTATGTGTGTGTGTGTGTGTGTGTGTGTGTGTGTGTGTGTGCTCTTACCCCTTGAGGAAAAACCAGAGGGACTGGGAGGATAGCAAGAGTTTTATTCGTCTGTCTGAGCTAAATTTATGACCATTCCGTTCTTTCATGTAATCCCACATCCTCTCATCCCTCTCTTCCCCTCTATCTCTCTCTCACGCCTCTCCTCTTCCCTAGCGCTCACCTACAGACACACACACACACACACACACACACACACACGTTTACTTAAATGGGAACATTGCATAGACTTCTATTGTTTTCATATAGTTTCAAATACTAAAACAGATAATCCACAGCCTAATCCTAACAGAAAACTTTCTGCTTTTTTTTTTTTACAATTTATTTTATTTTTATACAGTTTTTATCAGCGCATATGTTTCTGAAATGAGGTTATGTCACAAATTTGTCTCCAAAATATGGTTAAGCAGGTACGCACACACACAGAGACATTCATACACCAGATCAAAACAAAATGTCATTTCACACTGACACTTATGACATAAACATAGCAGTGCAAACACAATCAGCCAGCATTGAAATAAACGAACGTTCAGGTGCTTATTGTTTCTTTTCCTCAGGCTATGTTTGGGGTAAAATTAAAGAATCAATGAGAATCTGTTTCCCTTTGAGCAACACACCTGCACTGGAGTTATCACGGCATCACCACACCCACACACACACACACACACACACACACACACACACACGCACACACACACACAAACACAAACACACACACACTCACACAAAATCACCCACACACACACAACCACAAACACACACAAAATCACCCACACACACACACACACACACACTCACACACACACACACACAAACACACACACACACACACACACACACACACACTCACACAGGGGTGTGACACGTTCTTTTATGTGCAATTATCACAAATTATGGGAAAAGATGAGTTTGGTGAGGGGGAACTCACACACAAAGACACACACACACAAACACACACACACACACACACACACATACAAAAAATGCCCCTCTCATCTCGTGCCATCGCGTCTGCTTGGATCTTTCTGCCATCTGTGCTGCAGAGCTCGAGTCTCTGCTGCCAATCACACAGTAAATCACTCGTCTGTCATCAGTTCATCAGCAGCAGCCTATTTATTGAGCCTTTATCACTCCCTCCATTCTCATTCGCACTGCCCAGGTTAAAAAAGTGTACTTCCATAATGAACTTAAAGTGCTCTATTTTCACACACTAATTTTGTACTTAATATACAAAAAATTATTTAAGACAAAGTTAAGGTCAGCTATTTTGGGACACCATGAATATGAACTAAAATGTGCTTTACTATCTTTAAAAATGTATTTAGTTACAGTTACCACTTGTAGTACACTTGAGTGTACTAGTGTATGAAAGATGGGTTCAAGTGTACTACAAGTGCTGACTAAATACATTTTTTAAATGTATGTTAAAAGCACATTCGTGACCCTGCAGCACAAAAGCAGTATTAAGTCGCTGGGGGATATTTGTAGCAATAGCCAAAAATACATTGTATGGGTCAAAATTATCAATTTTTCTTTTATGCCAAAAATCATTA